AGGCATTGCGGGTCTGCATAGTCGCCGCCGAAGCAGTCCAGCATGGCAGCCGCGGAGGCTGGCAGTACACAGCGGAATGCAAGCGATCGCTGAACTCATGCTGATCAAAAACTTCAGCAGGAACTCCTGTGTTGCTGGCTTCAGATCACGCACCAGCAGCTTGAAAACAAAGCTTGCCAGCTCGGCTTGCCGTGCACAAGCACTCCAGCTGGGTCCGGTTGTTGCAGTTCCTAAGCCGACTTCCGTCCACAAGCTTAACTGGTACACTAACTGGTACACACCACCAGCTGGCAGAATTTGCCAGCTGCTTGCATGCAACAGCTTTTGCCCTAATCTCTGCCTGGATTTCCACAAGCTTGGCTTCTTACGCAGCACCTGGTGGGCACTGCCGCGACCTTGGTTTCAGACGTTCAGATGCTAGGCTGCTAGGCCATTAATAAGCCATGGTGCAATATGTACTGAAGCGCCGATCAAGACCACCAAACTCTCCGCACACCCCAGCAACTCGGGCTTCACATGTCTGAGCCACCAGCGGGAAAGTGCTGCCTGACAGTAGCTGGCTGTTGTCACTGCACCTTGCCACAGGTCAGCAGTCCCAACTGTAAGAAGTACCATGCCCTAGTTCTGGACACACCTTTTGCTCTGTGCTCCCTCCATCACAGTCCCAACAAATCGGCTCCAGGCTTGTTCGTGTACAGCTCTGGAGCCGTCAGCAGCTTGGTCAGCAGGGATGACTTGAAGAAATCCTGGGTTGCTGCAAGGGCATGCGAAGTTGTTAATTGTCAGTGGCACTGTCTGACTATCAGGTGACCGCTTGGCCCGCCACCACACTCTGGATGGCAGAAATCATTGCCAGGATGCCTTCCTGCTCCTCGCCCACCTTTCGCGAGACGTCAAGAAAGTGTAGTCATGCATTGCTTGCCATGCACTGAAATACAACGAAGATACAAATCTTGGCAAAACCGTCTCAGCAACTCATCCAACATAGCCAGCCTTATGGTTGCTCGAGTGGACATTGTCCAAATTTCCAGTGGCCACTATGGCACTAGTCACCACCACTAGCTAGCTTGCTACTGCCACGTCTATGTGGCACTCGTGCTTGGCCTTGCCTTCAAGTCAGCACCATAGTATTTTCGCCAGACCTGCAGAGGGAAGCTTCGCGAGAGGTATGATGTAGCTCCTCGTTCTAGACTTCAGCAAACACAAAGGCTTCCAGCCAGGAACCTTCCAAACAGCACATGGTATTCACACAACCCTGAAGGCAGAACAGGTCTCAGGGCGATGTTGTAAATAGTCTGCACATCGAATCCCTTTCAGGCTCCTGGATGAATTGTCAGGACTATACAAGCTATAAGACTTAAGATTATAGATCCTGTTTGAGGGGCTTTGCAGTGAATGCTACCTTTTTTTCAGGGGCATGCCTGCTCAGCTTTTCAGCAAGCACGCCATGGTTGCAGTAAGGAGTTCCCCACACAGAAGGCTTGGAGTGCATGATACTGCCAAGCCGACCCCGCAATATACACGGCAACACTCACAAATATATGCATATACACCCCTATATACATCCCTTTCTACCTATAGCCATTATATATGTCAAAGCCACGTACCCATCAATGCCAGAATGTCATTCCCTTTTGCAGCGAAGCTGGGGCTAAGGGCTGCCATGATGGCATCCTCCTGGCAATACCCGAGCTCGAAGTCCTGCCGCAGGCCCCCTGAACTGAAGGATTGAATCTTAAAGCGCAGATTTCAGGACCCTGTATGAAATCACAGAGCAGCAACGGCCAGAGGGGCTTGGCAAGCTTAAGCATGTTCAGAACTTGCGCCATCAGAAGAAGTTCAGAGAAGTCTCAAAACAACCAGGCTTCTAGATCTGAACCAGTCCCCGAAAGATCGCTTTCGGATGAAACGTGCGTTTTTTGGGCGCCGAAGTCCTGAAATTACTGAAAGTATGGGGTCATATTTGGGCTATATTGGGCTTATATGGGGATAATGGATAAAAGAAATATACAAACTACAATAATGTCTTGTAGAATTTGAACCCATTTAAGGATAAGATATGGTTTTCAAATGGTGCGATTTGCATCCGATGATGGGTACTTTCCCAAAATGGGGGAACCCCAATATATCCAATATAGACCCGAAAAGACTGTCGTCCTCATTGGGAGCCGCACACCGGTACCCTCAATTTTGGACAACCCCCAATCTCTGTACACCCTTATATAATCTCAGCTTCCATTTTTCCATGTTCTTTTTCATTTGGTTCTCCATTATTGGGATCATATCCTGAAAAAAATGCGGGTCCATATTCAAGATAGTACCCCCAAATTTGAGAAAGCCCCAATTGGTTCAGAAGGCCTGAATCCAGGCACCCTGGATCTCGGTCTGCTCTTTCTTGTCGATGAGAGGCAGGTTGGCCTCATTGAAGGCACAAAGACACCTACTTACTGGTTCTTGGTAGAAAATATGGGGATATATTACAAAGGGATTCTGTAGGATTTTTTCTCTTATTCCCTGGCAAGAACCAGTAGGCAGCAAGCCTGGGAGTAGGATGTTGTAGATTGGGAATTTATCTCAGAACAGCCCTGGCTGGCGGTTATCTGTGCTTTTGCGCTGCTGAAGTCTCGAAACCTGGAAGCCCTTCAGACTCTACTCCACCTCCTGAAGCATCCCAAAATCTGATCTCTACCATATGATCATTGTGGCACGTCTCCCACGCTCAACGCGGCTGCTGTGTGCCGCACCCGCGCGAGTCGTTGCTGCTCCAGTGCCACGAACTCAAAGTTGTTTCGCATGATCTGCCGGAGGCAGAATTGCGCGACCTAGGTGAGGAGGCGGTCCAAAATCCAAGCCCCAAGTGCGCTTAGCCAACCCCAACGCACTAAAGTCCCTTCCCTCTAAGAATTAACATCCCAATACAACGCGAATTTATGGCATGCTATCATGGGGCGTGTTATTAAGGGCAGGGGATTACATGGGAGGTCTATTGGTTACCGACATAGGGATTATTAGCTACCAACAATGTAGCCTCACATAAAACTCCAATGGAACACAACATGCACACTGGGGGGATATAAAGACGATCTACGATTCAGGGACCTTAAGCCCTAAACTGTAAACCCTGAACCCCAACCCTGGAGAATGGACTGGTAAAGAAAAGATGGGTGTACAGTCTTGTGGGGGCCGGGTCTGCAATGCTCAAGGTGGCTTGGAGCCAATTTTAATCCTATATCTAGCTGTATATCTACATACATAATATATATATATGTGTGTGTATCTATTATACACATACAAATGTACTTGAGCTTTGAACTGAGGAAGGTGTGCTGTGACAGGGATCAGGACTACTTAGGTAATTACCCTAGCTGGGCAACAGAGATCTGTATTAACGAAAGGCTCTCGGGTGCAACTGGCGTACTCGGCAACATCACTTGGCGCTACGACAACGCGCTACTTGTGCCGACCCTTGCCAAAGACAGGTGTTCACCCGAACGTGCGTTGGAGCATTCTTTGCAGGCGTCGCTTTCCTTGGTTTCACATTACGACGTTTTTGCGAATGTGGCTGTACGCAGCCAAGCTCCAAAGCATAAAATAAAGATCGGGTAGGCACTCGTACGTAGTTTTGGACGTGCTACTAGTGACGCGGTTGCCTCCGCACCAATCCTTATCATATGAAGCACGCACGCATTCTCCCACCAGAATGTGTGTGTACGAGAAAATCTAGACGATTGAACTCCACCTAGCACTCTGCGCCAGCCTTCTGCGTCAGGTAGAAGTCCCTCTTGTTCACGCACACCGTGCCCTGAAGAAGTTGTCGCCTGGCACAGCCGTACATCAGAAAAGTCAAGTGTGAATCATCCAGCGTGCGTCCAGCAGTGGGATCCTTGTATCTTTTGTCTGAACTTTTCGTAGATAGTGAGAGACAACCAAAACAGCAGTAAGAGCATTCCTTGGCATGGATGTAAGAACGATGTAAGGCACATGTAAGGCACATCCCAACCGGGCGCACTTCAGGTCTGCTCGTGCGCCGGTTCCTTCTGGACAGTAAAAGCCTCAGGTCCCCAAGCTAGGATTCCCCTGGCTCACGCGCACACACTGGCACATCCCGAACACTTCCCTCTGCTGAGCAGGTGGCCCAGTGGGCACCGGAACTTGTACCGATTGATGTAGGTTGTCGCCTGCTTCAGCAACCAATGCGCTTGCTGGTGGGAAGGCATGCGGTAGCCAAAAGCTGAAGTTCTGAAAGCCAGATCTGCTCCACTTCCTGAACCGTGGTCCTCCTGGTCCAACTGCATCTGGCGCGCCTCTGCGCAGTAAAAGCCCGGAGGGCAAAGGTCGCGATAGACGCTGTCAGGCCTTGCTTGTCCATTTTTCAAAGCACTGAGGGAACCAAGTTCCCTTGCACTTCAGACATAGAGTACTCTGCTCTCTGTGTTCCCTGTCACGGATAATCACGCTTCTCCTGTGTCTTGGCCTGCATAATTCAGCGATCGCCAAAAATAGAAAAAAGCGAACCTGGACCGATGCAGCTGCAATCTAGAGAACACATGTCATGCCTAAGCAACCTGTTTGAACACCTCGTGTTTGTTCTAGCGCCTTTTCACTCAGACGGTGAACTACAGGTGAGACAAAGTGAGCAACTGCCCATCCCTTTGGGCGCAAGCAGCTGCATGAACGATATAGAGAGCCAATACGAGGGGCCGTACACTGAGCAGGCTCTTGCCATCCCACCCTGAGGTTCCAAAACCAGGTTCACAAACAATTGCAAACACACTTGTTACAAGCTGGCTCAGGTCAACCAGAAGGCCTTGCTGCCTCTGCACCATTGAAACTGTCACTCGAGTCAGGCGTTCTGCGGCTCACGGAGCAGGATCCTGCTTGCACCGCGCATCGTGCCGATCGGTATCCCCATCCTCAGCTTTTGTCTTTGGCTAGCGCATGCTATGCAAGTATATACGCAGGCATCTACGTACACTTTCTGCTGGCCTTCTTCCACAGACTCACAACAAACATTGGGCCACCGTCCCTCGACCTAGAGCGCAATAGGTTTCTGTGCAAGAGTCCTCGGCTTTGGCACACTTGCGGCAACAGGTGTCCAGGGGGCGACCCCGTGCAGTCTTGCCTCACAGCTCAAATTCTAGAGGTGTGAGTGTGGCTTGAAGATGTACAAAGTGGGTCTCAGGATGTAGTATCCTTTCTAAAAGGCTGCAGGCATCATGCCCAGCAAAACCTTGATACGGCCTTCCTAGATTGGAAACAACTTTGAGCACCGTCTGACACATCGGAGCTATTTCCTGATCTGCCAGGCTCGGGTCTTACATAATTCCAGTACTCTAGATCTGCCTGCAAGCACTTGGCGGGAAACATCTCCCTCAAGGAGAACCCGGCGTCAGTGCTACCCCGGCCTGGGGCAGCAAGCAAGCCACATCCCATCTTGCAGGGAGGTCGCTCTCCGTCCTGGTCGACTAGGAAATGAAGCTCAACACGGCTTTTCTTGGCAGCTCCAGGTCCTTGAGGCCGCATTGAAGGTCGTGCCCAAATCCCAGGGCGCATCCTCCACTTGCGTTTGCAGTTGCTGCTTGATCATGAAAGGCGGGCCAAGAAATCTGGATTCTGTGGGTTGTCCACATATGTCCACATTGTCGGAGCTGAGCTGCTGGAAGATTTTTGCTCACATGACACAACGGCACAATGGCAGAAACAACCTTACCGTCTTGGGGCCTCAATACCCAGACCAAGCGCCGCAAGACTGACACAGACTACCCTGAATACCGCTTGCCGGGCACTCAAGGCTCTGGCCTCTGCAGCAGGTTTTGAAGGGGTTGCCCCTCTTCGTCTTCCCAGGGGCCACTGGCTTGCCGCAGCCCTTGACGCAGAAGCCTGGAAGACAATGTTGGGAAACGCTTCAACTTACAACGCGAAGGATCTGTCAGGACTTTGCTTTCTCTTCATGTCAAGCAAGTAACTTTGAGTTAGACTACGGGTTGGCCACCGTGACAGCCTATTTAACCACAAGGATCGTTGGTCTTTCAAGAAATAGCTGTACCTAACTCTTGATAGGTGAGTTGTAAAGCCTTGTCACGTCTGCAGGTTCAAGAGGATTATGGTGCAGAAGCCCCGTAAAGCAGCCAACATACACTTAAGCCCAAACCTTGCACCATAAGCCTGCCATGGGCCCTGAATCCCAGATGAACTATAGTCTAAACTCCTAGTATCCCTCTTCATGAGCCCGATACTTCCTCCTATTTTGCCCTCTTAAAGGGGGTTTCAGATTCCCTCATCCGGCTGACACCTACTGGGTTGCTGTTATATATACCCATTATGGTAACTTAATTTAAGTTCCTTAACAGCAACCCAGCCTACCCTTCTTGCCTTCTGGGACCTTCACACCTTCGGAGGGGCCCTCGGCCATGGCCTGGCAGTGAGACATCCGACTTCCATATCTAAAGAAGGTTATATTATATAACTTATATAGGGATAATCGAAAAGAACATGGAAGCTACATTTTTTTAGGGTACTATGTAGGGGTTATCTTTTTTACGTTATATAGGGATAATGGAAAAGAATATGCAAACGACTATTTGGGGCTTAGGGTTTAATATAGGCATAAGGGGCAAGAAAATGGATGCAACTATGTGGGGTTTAGGGCTAATGAAAAAGAAAATGGAAACTACTATACAGTATATTGGGGGTTATATAGGGATAATGGAAAAGAAAATGGAAGCTACTATTTAGGGTTTAGGGTACTATGTAGGGGTTAT